TAATAATTTCATTATATAAAATATTACAATTTTGTACAAAAATAAAACAAGATTTTTTTCAATGTAAGAAAGAATTAAACACTTCTACAATCAAATTTAAAATATACCAATTATATATTTTAAAAATATTGTTTGTTTAATATTGTTACGTCCAGACTCGAAAAGAGATGAGTCGATGGAAGGGCGCAACAACTATCTTAATTATCCCGAAATCAGGCGCCTTGCGGCGTAAGAATCGGGTCGAACGAACTCTTAGGTTTGAAAACGACCATTCGGATCGCTATTACGCTGTTTATTCAGATGTTCGCTCGGTGGTCCCTTTTCGGTCAGGGAATTTAATCCCTTTTACGCGGGATGGGACCTAGTGCGATCTTCGTACTGGGAACGAGAGAGGGGTTAAGAATTGTTTAAGTAGTTAAATAAAATATAATTTTATTCATTAGAAAAATAAAAAGTTCGAATACATGATATATATATTTGTAGAAAGTGATAACATTTATCGTGTGAGTGTGAGTGTTTGTGTGTGGTTGAGCTTATCGCTCCGCGGGTGTTACAATGGTTCGGGGGACATCAGCCAGACTGAGTTGGGAAAGGCTCTATCGTTAAGATTAGAATTCTGGCTGGTAAATACAATATCTTCTATTATTTTTCGAAAAAAATAAAAACATAGTGTAAAAGTAGGTCAGTGAGGAAATGGGTTGTTGAACGAAGGAGATATGGAGATTTATAAATTATGTTAATCTTGGTAGGACGATGCTGCTTCCAAGTCAGGAAGCTCATCGATAAATTCTTGGATTGCCTTGTCTATGTAATCCAATTCGGGTTTAATTCTATTAATTATTCTAACAATTTTATTCGCTTTGATTAAATTATGGTTGATTTTAGCGATATATTGGTTAGCTGTTCTAATCGTTTTTGAGTCAGCTTGCGCCAACGCCCTCCGAGTCCTGCGATAAACTCGATGTATGTACTTGGCTCGCGAATGAAGTCGCTTGATCGAAATACGCAAGGTGATCTTTTTCACTATAGAAAATTATAAGTGATAATTCCTAGTTGGAATTCGCGTAAAGAAAAAAATTGGTTGATAGCGACTTACTCTTTTTAAGTAGAAGACGGACGGGCAGCTTAACTCGGAGATTGTCGTTCGTGGTCGAGAGAGATGCCGTTGAACAAGACACTGGTCACAGTTCGCGATGTAAATGACTTTTAATAACTGCACTGAGAACGGACTAACTAATCGACTTGTAGATTGACTTGTTGAATGACTTACCGTCAACCGGGTGATTCTGATGAAAACTGAGATGATGGAGTCTCGCGGGCTCCCTTTTTATAGTTCGTCGATTGGTCGAAGGTGAACATTTTCCGATGGACCCTTGCACACGTGATTTTGAGGTGAATAGCAAAAGTCTATGATTTCTATCGATGATGATGCGGTTATTTTGTTCGATATTTCGTAAGTTGATTTCATCGTCTCTTCGCTGGAAAGTCTATATATGGAATATCTATTGATCGGCCTAATATCTTTTTGTTTTTCTCGCAGTTACTCATAGGTATATTTACTGATAAATGATGAAATGTTTAAGGTTTAAAACGTTATGTGGTGCAAGATGTTCTATTTACCGAAAGACTTATTTTTATTGCCAATCGACGATCCTTGCCGCAATTTCGCGGAAGGAAGGAATCGTGTCTATTTACCGAAAGACTTATTTTTATTGCCAATCGACGATCCTTGCCGCAATTTCGCGGAAGGAAGGAATCGTGGAGTCGGCAGGACGTAACAAATATATTTTTATAATATTTCAAGTTAAATAAAGAGACAATTATCTTAATTTAATGTTTTAAATAAAAAATTAAACATGCATATTATGAGTAAAAAATATTAATTAAGGAAATATTATTGCAATATTAAATTATATTTTCGATTTATCGCGTTAATAAAAGAAAGATAAAATAAAATAAAAAATGTAATTAAAACGATAAAAAAATAATAAAAGCATTAGTATCAGAACAATTATTTTCTTAAATTAAATTATTGCATAATTATGATAAACACTCTTCATTAACTTTTTATTTTAATCTTTATAAAAATTGTTTATTACAACATGTAATTTTAAAGAAATAAAAATAAAATTAAAATTAAAAAATATAATAATCTAAAATTAAAAAAATAATTACATTATTAGAGGTTCCAAAATTTTCTTTCGGTTTCATTGTAAAGCGCATCCTCAAACCAATATTTGGAATTAATTCTTTTATTAAGTCAGGTGTTAGGCGTTTCAATAATATTTTATCAATTCCCTCTCCTATATAACAAAAAACAAATAAATCAAGAAAACTCACTTTATTCAAAAGTAAAAAATGAACAAGTAAAACTTTGAATATTAATATATAATTATATATAAGATAAAAATGTGAATAAATATATAAAATAATCTTATTGTATAATGATAATACTTACTTTTAAAATGTTGAATAAAGTTGTCTTCAAAACCCCAACTTTTTAAAATATCTGTTGTCTCATTGTCGGCCATTACCACTAATTTATTGCACAAAGAGAATATATTGATTCTTCTTAAAAACTTGCTAAAAGTATTACGACACTATATACGATTTGCACAAAGTACTAAAGTATCTTTAAGTATTAATCTTTAAGTACTAAGGCATCAACCAGAATTTAATTTATTTCTAATGCCCGCAATAAGACGTATACGCAGCACACGACACACAAGCTTTTCGATATATTCCGTCTTAACTGTATCCGAGTCATCCGACAAATGCCGAGCGTTTTTACTGTATCAGACAAATGCCGAGCGTTTTGCGCAACACATGTATGTACTAGAGATAGGCGATTATAATCGATTGTAACAATAATCGATTATTTTTTTGTCGAAATCGATTATTTTTATCCGATTGTTTCGGACATCGATTATTTTTATTCGATTGTTTCGGACATCGATTAATCGATTATTCGATTTTTATTTCCCGGCCGCGGCGACGTCCGGCGTCGTGCTCAAGAGCTGCCCATAGACTATAGACTTATAGAGATAGACTGCGCATCCCTGCAAAAAACTGTCTTAAACATTACCATACCACCGCGCTGGCGCGCTGCCGTGCTGTTTGCGTTTGCGGCTTGCGGCTGCAATCGTGCTATCTGCGTATCTGTTATCCCAAATCCCACGCAACGCGCAAATTTACATTGAATTGTTGAGCGATTGAGCACGTGAAATTTTGTCATAAGTAACTATAATATTGTCATAAATGTCAACGTGTAGTACTGGAAAGGTAAGGATCTCACAAATATCATAATAATTAAGAGTTTCCTTGTACAAAATAAATGACGGCATATGAACTTAAGCAAATTCTAACCTCTTACCTCTTAAGGATTCGGAGTTTGAGATGGATTCTATAGCGTCCTCAAGTTCATCTAATGCAAACACCGAATGAGCCGAAGCTACACATCCATCTTGTTCGATTCTTGATGTCGGAAAATCTCAGTATGTTATTCGACTTATTAAATTATGATCGATCTATTTTTCGATTTAAAATGAGATTTATTTATATGATACATTCTACAAAAGTAATTGTTATTGACTTATTCCAGTCTTGAATTGGGCAATATTTTTATTTACGTATTTCTTATTGGATTCTCACAGGAAATCTACGAAAGATACAGGCAAAGCTACAAAGAGCGAAGTATGGCAGAATATAAAGATAGATTGTACATCGGCACGGTGCAATATTTGTTTGAAAAAAATCAAGCACAAAGGCAACACAACCAATATGATGCAGCACCTAAGGCATTCTCATCGGATGCATGTACCATGTGCAAATCCTTTGAAACGTGCCAAGTGTACAGAGGGAAATGACTTTTCAGAAGATGTTGACGACCCATCACCAAAAATACAACGTCTGCCAAAAGTACAGACGCAGGCGAAATCGGAGAAAATCGACAAAGCGTTCCAGAGAATGAGTTCATTTAAAAGTAAGGTTATTTGTATATATGATCATATACATTTATAATTGTGCGCTCCATGTTCTTTAAGAGGAGATTGCAACTTCTTTAAATGTTCGACAATGTATATACTTTACCTTTTTCTTTATATATTGTATTTAGATTGCATTTATCTACTTTCTACTTATTTTTACTTATAATAATTATATGTTGTAGGTGGAGGTTCAGCTGCTGCCAAGATAACCAACGCGATTTTTTTCATGATCGCCGCGGACAACTGTCCTCTATCGACCGTAGAAAACAAAGGATTTAGAGCGCTCATGAAGACAACGGCCCCGCTCTATAAGGTTCCTAATCGAAAATCCATCACAAAAGAAATAGAGTTAAGGTATCATGAGATGAAGAACGCGTTTCGGAAAAATCTTGCCGTCGGTACTACTTACACGTTAATATGCGACATATGGACAGATACAAGTAATCAAAGTTATCTTGGAATCACCAATCATTACTTGACACCAAAGCTCGAGATAAAGAACAGTTGTTTGGGTGTATTACCACTGAGCGAGCGTCACACCGCGGATTATATATTGCGAAATTTACGGGATTGTCTCGAATCGTTCGGTATAGAAACATCCGATGTTACGGCGATAGTTACCGATTGCGGCGCGAATATTAAAAAGGCAGCGATCGACACATTTGGTGCTTCGAAGCACATACCGTGTTTCGCGCGCGTCCTATCCCATGTGGTACCGAGCGTCATGAAAACTTTACCAGAAGTCGAGAATACGTTTGCTCGCGTACATAGCATAGTGGCGATAACGAAAAGGAGCGTCGTTGCAGCCGATGAATTGAAGCGGCTTCAAATTTGTAACGGAAAGACAGAGGGCACGGCTTTGAAGTTGAAGCAAGATGTACCTACGCGTTGGAACTCGTCATTTTATATGATCGAAAGATTCCTTGAACTCCGCGAATATATTTATCCGGTTCTTATGAAATGCCCGACTGCCCCAGAAATGTTAACGCGGGAGCAAATGCAAGTCCTTGAAGATTGCGTAGTTTTACGACCAATTGAAAATGTTATTACCGAAATCAGCGGCGAAACGTATCCAACAGGCAGTATGGCTATCCCAATAATTCGATGCATGGAGAATGCGTTGAACTGCTGCATACCCGTGACAAAAATTGGAGAAAATATGAAAATGAAAATTATAGCTAAAGTTCAGGAAAAGTTTGAGGGAATCGAGACGTGCAAATTATTGGCAATGTCGACAATTCTTGATCCGCGTTTAAAAAAAATCCATTTTCGATCTGCAATGACGGCAGTAACAGCTATTGCGGATATAAATAAAATGATGAAATCGGCTAATTGTGATCCCAAGATAAGTGTTCCGCCGACCTCGAAACCTTCGGAAAGCTTTACTGTACAAAGCATATGGGAGTTTCACGACAATTTGATTGCCAACGATATGCAGTCAAACGATCCTTCAGAACTTCACCTCGAATTACGTCAGTATCTTAACCAGCCCGTTATTCCGAGACAAGCAAGTCCAATTCAATATTGGTACAGTGTAAAAAACGCGTTCCCGACACTGTATATTTTAGCAGTTAAGCACTTAAATATCATCGCCACCTCAGTACCATCGGAGCGTTTGTTTTCGAAGGTTGGGGCACTGAAAACAGAACGACGCAACAGATTGTCGGGTAAGCGATTGAATATGCTGCTATTCCTGGGGTCATTATCCGAAAAAGATTGGGGGCTCGCATAATTATGCTAGCAACTTTGCACTGACTGCCTCAATTCCTTTTATAGTAGGGGAAGATAGTCGATATTGGACCACTACTATAACTTAGCATATATAGACAATTTGTGCCTTATGATATACAAAATAAGTTGCTTAGATTTAAAATTGGGATCCTCAACTTTAAGCCTAAGCAATCTATTTTGCCTACTGTAAGGTGGAAATTGCCTGTAAACTTGAATGGAAATAAATGATATGTATTTCCATTTGACCTGATTCCTAATTCTTTTCCATTTTTTCCTTTCATTTATTTTGAGATGGTGAGGTACAGTATGCTTTACTCAATTATATGTGTTTGTTTATTTAAACTTGTGTTTGTTTATTAAACATGTTTTGATTTATATTACAGATACCAGTACTGTCCTCTTTCACGGCTATGGATAAACCGAGGAAAAAAATAACACGTCATCGGCATAAATATTTCAGTTAGCCAAATGAAATGATGAATTTTTTAAATAATAATATGTATTATATAAAATGTGAATTATTACAATAATAAGTGTGAATATACCCAAATTAAACAGATTAATCATTTGAAAACAATAAAAATCCTTTATGTGTCATTTTTTAAATAATCAGTTGAAAAAATCGATTATACACAATTATTTTTCTTAATAATCGATTTCTTGATATCAATTATTCTCATAATCGATTATTATATAATCGATTCTTTTTTTCAACATCGTCCATCTCTAGTATGTACATGTACCGGCAGGAATGATGTCCGGCGTTAGATGTGTGCGTACGTGTAAGACAACCGAAAATTATACATACGTATATTCGTGTTACGTATATGTGCGTATGACTTTCGGTTGTCCTATACGTACACACACATCTAACGCTGGATACCATTCCTGCCGGTATACATACAAGCTTCTCTGATTGTGTGCGTAGCAGCCAGGCTATCGTTCTGTGGCAACACAGCTCGCGTTTTTGCACATACTTTGCGCTTTCATTGTTTATTTTCTTTGGTACATACTTAATAAATTTTTTTTACAATTAGAAAAAAATTTAAATATTGCATTCATGATCAATTATGATAATTGATAAGCAATAAATTATCATAATTGAGAGCGTTCTGCGCATTACATATACACAGTTCAAGCTTGTGTGTGTATCCCCTCCATTACGGAGTCGTGTTGCTCGCGTCTCAATTCTGGCATCACTGGTAGGTAGTGGTTAGATCGGTGTCAGGAGCTGGATGGCAGGACAGGATCTGGTCTCGATGTCTCGGCCGGCCGGGCTTATATACCCGGCCGGCGTCCCCCACTGTGCGCCGTCGGTCCGGCGGTGGGAGGCGCGGCCGGATATACCCGGCCGGCGTCCCCCACTGTGCGCCGTCGGTCCGGCGGTGGGAGTCGGTACCGCGTGGGGACACCGAGAGAGAGAGATAGAGCGTGCTGAGAGAGAGAGAGTGCGTGCCGAGAGAGATAGCGGTAGACGAGAGAGATGGCGTTAGCAGGATAGGTAGTGCTGGGTGGAATAAGCCATGCTCGTGTAGATATATATATATATATATTGCGACGACTTTTCCTACCGTCTCGCGGCTGAGCGATAAACGCGGCCGCCGACTCGTTCTCTCCGTCGCGCGGGTGTAAATTGCGG